ATCTGTTTCTGTTGTGGTTTGGATGTGAGCTGTCTCTCCCAAAGCTCAGGTTTGATCCGATGCAAGGAAGTTTAGAGGAGAAATGATTGGGTTATGAGAGTCAATCAGTGAATTACTCCCTCTAACAGGATTAACTGAGTGGTAACTGAAGCATGTAGGATGTGGCTGGAGGAGGTAGGTTCCTGGGGGCGTACCTTTGTGGTGTATATTTTGTAACTGGTGAGTGGAGTCTCTCTGCTTACTGATCATCAAGTGATTTGTTTCCCTCCACCACATTCTTCTGTCATGATGTTCTGCCTCACCTTGAGCCCTGAGGAATGAAGCCGGCCTCCTATGGATTGAGATTTCTGAAACTGTGAGCCCTCAAATAAACTTTTCCTCCACTACAATTGTTCTGGTCAGGGTCTTTTAGTTGCAGCAGAGCAAAGCTGACTAAAACATATCTTTTGTTCCCCACCCTCAAAATCAAGATAGGCATCACTTTCTCTTCAGATGGTTTCTAGACCGACTATCAAATGTGTTTCTTTGCTCAGCTCTTCCCAGTTCTTTATGTTCTTTGATCAACAGAATATTTTTAAGTTTAGGTCCCAAGAATAGACTTCCAGGCCCATGACTTTATAGCCTTTACATGAATTATCTATCTATCTATCTATCTATCTATCATCTATCTTCACATCTGTCTATTCATTTACCCATCTTTATCAGTTCATGACACGATTATTTATATTATTGAGAACCTCTTTAATTCATCCATTTTCATCACTATAATTAAATAGTTGAGTGGGCTAAATTTATAAAGAAAAAAGACTTATTTAGCTCAAAGACACAGCGCCAGCATTGGCTTAGCTCTGAGGACCACATGTGTATGGTGTTACAAAAGCAGCAGAGCTGGTGAACATGAGAACTCACACCACCAAACAGGCAGCCGGAGCAAGATGAAAGTCCCAAATCCCTTCTGAGGGCACTTGACCCAGTCGATCTGAGCACCTCCCACCAGGCCATGCTTCTTTTTTTGTCATTTGTTTTTGATTTTTGCTGGTATTTTAAAATATACTTTTTGACATATAATTATGTAAATTATTTAAATGATTTTTGCCGAAGTCTGGCTGGGCCAAATAACCGGGAAGTGACAAGCAATTTGAAGGTTGAAACAGGAACTGCTTTATTACAGAACAACAGCGGTATACATACCTAACTGATTACACACAGCTTGACTCAATTAGCATCATCCAGATACAGTAATCAGCCAATAAGGAATTCTCACCATCTTAATGGCTCGGTGGCGTTGCCTCACAAACCACTCCTCCTGGCAAACTGCCAGGCGCCATCTTGACTTGATTCGCAGCCCTCAACAGATTTTAAGGTGAAATCTACAAAACCAAAGTCTATTCAAAGAAGTCTAATTTCTAGTTTCTGTCCCTGTCCCCTTTCTGATATGAATAATGTTTTTGTTTTGTTTCAGATTATCTTTAGGCCTCTTATCTTAAAGAGCTTACCTCTGAGCATCATCACACTGAGGACCAAACTCCAAACACATGGATCCTGGGGGACAAATTCAACCTAAACAATTACCCCTGCCAACCTGGTCCCTAACTTCAGTGGGGAGAAGTCACCAATCAAATGCTTATGAAAATATATAATTGCAAACTGTGTAAAAGCCACAAAGGTTGAAACAAGATTGTTAAAACAGGAGATTCAAATGTGTGCTCATGGTCAAGAAAAATTTTGCTGATAAAATAATTTGATCTAAAATCTGAAGGATAAACAGATGGGCCAGGGCTATTGGAGATGGGTATATATCTGAATCATGTCCTTAAGTAGGCTATTAGAAGTGAAATTTATAGGTGAAAGTTTGTGATTTTTTAAAAAATTATGTTTTCTCATAATTTTCCTCTAATTTTAAAATTTATTGAATACAATTTTTATATAATGCAAACTTAGAAATTGCAAACATAGTACAAAAAGATTTCTTGCCATGAGCCACTTAAAAGTTTCCAACATCATGCTCCCATTCCCCCCAGAATATTTTATGTGCATTTTTTTCAAATTAGGAATGAAACACAATGCAGTAGTCAAATTCTGAGAATTGGCATTGATTCATTAATACTCTCTGATCCTTCAACTTCCTTCACGTTTTGTCAGTTTTTCTAAATCCAGTCTTTTGTAATAAAAGATCTAGTTTAGAATTGTGTGTTGAATCCAGTTCTCAGGAATTCTTAGTTTGCTTCAGTCTTGACCATTTTCTCAGTCTTTCTTTGACTTTCATGAATTCAACTCTTTTGAACATCATGGTCCAGTTATTTTGTCAAATGTCCCTGCAATTGGTTTTGTCTGATGGTTTCGAACAATCAGGTTCAGTCTGTGCATTCATGGCAGGAATATCATAGAAGTGATGCTGTGTTTTCGAAGTATCCAGTGGATGGCACGAGGTATAAAATGCTCATGTTTACTTAGAGTGGCTCTGAAGTTTTCTTTCCGGAGCACCCTTTTTACTTTTGAAATTAATATGTTGAAACTATAAAAATATTCTATTCTTTAGAAAACTTTCAATTTATTCATTCATATAAGATTGGACTCATTGTTTTGTTCTTTATGCAAAGGGTTATCATCCATTACTATCATTATTTAATTTGATCCTTGCATTATCCCCTATTTGTTTGGCTTCTGTGACCTTCTGACATTTTCCTATTACTCTTTGAGCAATTTCTTATTGTACTGGTTAATTTGAATCTGCAACTTGATTGGATTAAGATATGCCAATGATTAAAAGGCCTCTGGGTGTGTCAATAAGAGTGGTGTCTAGGAATGATTGGCATGTGGGATAGCCAACTGAAATGGAGATACTCCCTAAGTGTGGCCAGCACCATCCAATAGAAACAGCGGTGATGCAAGCTTGATTCTTCTTGAACAGGTTCTTGATTGTTGCTTCCATCACCTGAGGATATTAGACTCTCCCTTCTTCACTCTTCCAAAACAGACTCTGCCAATGATTCCCCAGGGAGTTTCCTGAAGCCTTTGGTCTTGGACTAGGGTAGAACTGTTGATCCCTCTTGTTCTGAGACTTCAGCCTCTTTGACTGCATAGCTACTGGTTTCTCCAGCTCTCCAGCCTGCAGACACAGCTTCTGGTTGTATAAGCAAATCTAATAAATTCCCCTTTTATAATTACACTGCCTGTTGATTCTGTTGCTCTAGGGAACCCTGACTAATACATTTACTTTCTGGTACAAGATGTCCCAGGCTCATCTTACATTTTTCACATCTTATCCTGGAATTAGCCATTAAAAAAAGCCCTGTTACTTTTATATCATTTCAAAACTAAAAATCTGGGCACCAGGTTTACTCATTCTATGGACTATCACTGCTCCCAGACCTTCTCAGTAGGTAGAGAGCGCTCTCTCTCTCTCTCCCTCTCTCTCCCTCTCTCTCTCTCTCTCTCTCTCTGTCTCTCATACACACACACACACACACACACACACACACACACACACATGCTTACATGTATATTTATGTACATTAAAAATATGAGTTCACTCTAATATCTCTGATTTTAATTTATTACCATAGTTTGTTCTAGTTTCTCACTTTCCATGTTTGAAATTTCCTCTTTAAAAGTGAGAAGACTGGTTCTCTTAACTCAAATTTTAATGCATGTATTAATTTATTAATCCTCCTGTATATATCTAACATCTCATTGCTACCTCTTCCCCTCTCCTCTGTGCATGTCTTTCTCAATCAACTCAGGCACTGGCATTCCTAAACTGAACTTCCTCTGCTTTCAACATAGATGCTCTCTTTTACCCTGTTTGGGCTCTGATGTCTTGCACCATCTATAAAGACCTCCTGTCTGTACATCCTCCTTACCTTGCTCATATTTTGACACTCAATGTTGGGCTGCTTCTGCCCCATTGGGGGGGTCTTCTGAAGCTATGTTCTCCCTAGCTTGCTCAGACTCTGACATCCCGTTTTGGGTCACAAGCTCAGTGAATGACCTCTTTATCTTGCTCAATCTGGGACAATGCGTGCTGAGCCATCCTTTGTGCAGAAATATCCTCCTTGGCCAGTATGGGTTCCATACACATGTTGGCTGTCACCTTCTGCTAGAACACTCTCCTATTCTCCTTAGGCTTTCACATCCTGCTTTCCTTGTTCCTCCTAAATCCTTCCCATCTATTGATCTTCCCACATTCTGCTATTTTACCATATTTACTACTAATTTTTTCTGTATGTATTTAAATATTGCTGACAAATAATAAGGCTTATAGTTTTTATCCTGTTTGTACAAAACATATTTGCTCAAGTTATTAAGAATTTTTGTTTCACATTATTTGGATATAACATTATTTGACTGTAATAGCAGGTTGATGCCTAAGGATGACAGCTCAAAGAGGAACTACCAGGTCCAAAGTATCAATATTTTAAGTGTCTTGACATACATTTTCAGATAACCATTTAAGAAAGGTTTTACATTTACTTATTCCTAAGAAAATTTATAAATGTAAGACTGTGCCAATAAAAATGATGCCAGATTTTTTAAAAAGAAGAAAGCAAGGAGATTTCAAAATTTGTTAAAAAATATAAATAGAATGGCCAGAAAAACTCTGGAAAAATAAATGCAATGGCTGCATGTAGGGAAACTACTCTTCTCAGCTTTTTTAATTATAAGAGAATGATACTGGTGAATGAGTAGACAGAAGACCAATGAACAGAATAGAAATTCAGAAATAGGCCCAAGCATATGTTGAAATTTGGTATATGAAAGGTGACATCTCAAGTAAATGTGATACGTGATATTAGGGTAACTAGATAGCCATGTGAGATCTGATCAGATTGAATCTGTTTCTCACAGTATGCCCCAGGATAAACTGTAAATGTTTCAGAGAAGTATCCATAAAAAATGAAACATGCACTCATTAGGAGAAAAGTTATTTTTTTTGAGAGAGAGAATTTTTAAAATATTTATTATTGACATAGGCGCAGACCGGTGTGTCCTTGGGCTAGAGAGTGGGACGTCCGGCTTCTGACCGGGATCCTTCTTTGCTTCTTTGCGCTAGCCACAAAAGAACGAATTAAAAATGGGTGATGTTGAGAAAGGCAAGAAGATTTTTGTTCAGAAGTGTGCCCAATGCCACACGGTGGAAAAGGGAGGCAAGCACAAGACTGGGCCAAATCTCCATGGTCTGTTTGGGCGGAAGACAGGTCAGGCTGCTGGATTCTCTTATACAGATGCCAACAAGAACAAAGG